TCTTATTTTGCAACAACAGAAGGAGGGAGAAAGGAGAGGGAAAGAAGAAAGGGAAAAGGAGAGGACGTAAGGGAGGATAGTAAGAGTAGGCGAGAGGGTGGGAAGGGGACAAAGAGAGGAGGAGTGGGGGGGGGAGGGAGAGAAGAAAAGATAAAGGAGAGGAGGAAAGAAGAAGGTAGAGAAGAGAGGTTGGGAGGTTGGAAGAAGTAGTAGGGTTGTTGCAAAATAAGATGGATGTACGGGGTGGCAGGAAAGTGACCCTGATTATACTTTTAATTTTTTTAAATAAATTGTGATAAATGTTAAAGGATAACATAAATATCAGTAGTACTTATGAGAACGTATATTTGTGAATGTATATATGAGAAAGAAAATAAAACTTTTTTTAAAAAAAGAAAGAAAAATAGGAACCACCTTTGGTGGGAAGGTAACAGCATTCCGTGCTCCTTCAGCGTTTAGCCATGCTGGCCACATGACCACGGAGACGTCTTCAGACAGCGCTGGTTCTTTGACTTTGAAACGGAGATGAGCACCGCCCCCTACAGTCAGGAACAACTAGTACATATGTATGATGGGAACCTTTACCTTCACCTATGTTCAAAAAGCCTAACTGATGTTCTTGGCACAGTTTCACAGGCCTTCAAGGCCGAAGGGGTTGAGAGAGCCACTTCATCTTTTTATTTTTTCCCCCACCAATGTAAAGTTGATGGTCATGGAAGGCTTTTTTTTTTTTAAAGAGAACACGTAGGCCCACACAACTGTTAGAAGCCACAATGAGGTTCCCCCCTCCCCGCATGAGAATATCATTATGTAATTTATGCAAATGTTGTCACTGTGTATCATTTACATGCGACAACACTGTCCTTCCAACAGAAGCCCAAGAATCAAGGAAGAACAGTTGAATACAGCCTGGACACTTTGAATCTAAGAATGTTTTCTGCATTCATGTTTCCTCTGTAATCAGTGTTTCTCAACCTTGGCAACTTGAAGTCCAGACATCTTCAAGTTGCCAAGGTTGAGAAACACTGCTCTATATACCCCACTTTCTCTCTCGACAGCAAAGGAAGTTTCCCTAAGAGGTCTCCCTTCCAAAACAGCGACCCTGTCAGGTAGGCTGGATTGAGCATGCATCACCGGCCCAAAGCTTCCCTAGTGAGCCACTGAGGATTTGGGCAGGCAAAGAAGCCCAGCCTATCCTCACTCCTAACTCTCCATTTGGAATCCAAACCCAGCTTCCTCCTTACCTTGTAATCATGAGCCGCTTCCTCAATGGGCAGCACCGTGTGCATTCGATGCTCCCGCGATTTGTCGCACACCAAGCAAATGGAGTCCCCGTCATCCTGGCAGAAAAGCCTCAGTTTTTTGCCATGTTTCTCACACAAGGCCTCAGCATGTCCTTGGCTGGGCCTCCGAGCCAGCCGCTCAATGCCCTCCACAATATTGGCCAGCTGCTTATTGGAGCGGGAGCTGCTTAGCAAAAACCCCATCCGGCACTGGGGACAGAGAGCTGCCCCGGTTGTGGAACCAGCTCCTCGCTCGCAATAGTCTGAGATGCACGCCAGGCAGAAGTTGTGGCCACAGTCGATGGTCACTGGTTCCCTCAGATACTCCAGGCAGATGGAACAAGAGACCTCATCCTGAAGCCTCTCCACAGGGTCATCCGCCGAAGATGCCATGCCTGCTTTAAAAGACCATTAAAATCCACCCGGAGATGGACAGCAGTCTCATTTCCAAAGAGCTGTCAGCATAACAAGGGAGTGGTTACAGCAGAGAGGAAGTTCTGGGCAAGAATTTCCTCCTTGGAACCCTTCCACCCGTTCCTTTCTCTTGTTGACGCTTTTCATTCCACAGCACCACAGAAACCAGAAAATTTCTTTTGTAAGGAGAGAGAAAGGGGAGGCGGGGAAACAGGACTTCAGCCAAAGAGTCAAAGTCACCACTTTACGTGATTTCCCAAACAAGGTTAACGAGTTTCGGAGGGGTGCAAGGCAAACAGGGCTGGGTGTCTCAGATTCCTGCAGAAATCTGCATGATCTGAAGCCTCCTTCAAAAAAAGGTCTGGGGGATTAGAATTATGCATGGCTATTGGGGGTGGGGGGAGCGTGGCAGAAGAGAGATGGGAACAAAGGTACTAAATTTCATTGACGTAGTGTGTCCTGTTTTTTCCCCCAAAAGTTTTTATTTAATTATTTATTAGTCATGTACAAGCTAGCAGGTATAAGTATGGACAAAGGAAATGAATACAAAGAAATGGGGACATTAGGACAGAAACAGTAGGCAACTGGTGTGCTTAT